AATAGATCAAAATACAAAGGAATCGATGTATCACATGTCGGAGACATTCATAAAATAAATTTTGAATACACTTCGATCCGGCAAAGGTTTTACAATACACAATTTTAGGCTCGGAAAATTCGGCTTTACCGGAAATCTGAAGCGTGATAGAAAGAAACCGAGGTCATATTCAGATTCAGCAGCTCAAAATACATGAGTAACCTGCTACCACGGGTCCAGGAAAATTTATAAAAATACATTGCATGCACGACAAATATGCGTCGGATTTGCTCATTTTGCCGGGATAAAGTTGCTTTCCCGGAAAACTGAGAGGTGAACGGGAAAAATTAAGGTCATTTCCGGACTCATCAGTTAAAAAGACATCGGCATAATTGAATCTCGTAGCTACGAAAAATTTCACCTACATTATGCAGGGGATAGCAGTCGGAAAAACACCGAAAACGCACCAAAATGGTCATTTTTTCGAGTAAAATCGGCTTTTCCGGAAAATTGGAGGGTGATGGAAAAAACGGAGGTCATATTTGGATTCAGCGCCTTAAAATGCATAAAGATCACCTAATTTTGTCCACGAGACATTTTTTTTATTTTTGGTTTGTTGTACAGTATAATGAGGCATATAACGAAAGATGGACATTAGCGGTTTTCGCATGATTCGGACCACGGCCCCCCCTGAAAAGAGGTTCAAACCTAAGGAACAAACATTTTCACCACATTAATGAGTGTGTCTAACCTCCGAGAGTATTTTAACCCAAAAATCTGAAAATTGAAAAAAAATGGACATTAGCGGTTTTCGCACGAGCCGATTCAAATATAAACTATTTTATTTAGTTAAGTCTCAATTAGTTTTTGAAATAAGCTGACAAGTGCAATTTTTTTATATACATATGTAAAAAAAAGTGAACATAGGAGGTGTACCTAGATGAATGTTAATCGAATATGTGAAATTCAAACTAACGAAGGATTCTCTATTTCCTTAAATGCACTGCCCAAGCTAATAGCACAATCCATATGCGTAATCCCAAGCATCATGAAAGAAAATAAACAGCATTTAATTTTAAGTGTCATTCGAGAAGGGAATCTGGAAATTTTTAAATTGTCTAAAGCTCTTTAGGCTCCAACATTAAACGCATGCAAGCTATTTTGTTCAAAAAAATAAGTACTAGGTAAATAGTAACTAAAGAATCACATGTTGCGTGTTTTTCTAATTTGAGGTAAATAATTAATTAAAATATGTACCAGAACATTCATATTATGAAGAATTAACTGTATATTTTCCCGGATGCATTTTGTGGATTTTTCTTGCTGAAGATGGCTGTCAGCCGAAACGCATCCGAGGAAATATACTATTAATTCTTCATAATATTTGTGTTCTGGTGTATCTTTTAATTAATTATTTATCTTAAACTAACGTATCAATACTAATCTAGTATCAATGCATCACAGAATGAACGATTTTAAATTTACCCTTTTTTCGAGCAAACAGTATTTTCAAGAAATTTCCTTGGTCCGAGTAATTGCTATAAAATAAATTCTAGTGATACTTACATTATTCACTTCAAAGCAGCTGATGTCATGTGTTTCCCCCATGAAAAGCACCCCCATGCTACGAATTTCCGTAATATGACACTCCATCTGTCATTAAACCTCATGGCATTAATTTACACATCCACGATCTTTTTCACTGGTATCTCAAAGCGTACAGCCACGATTACAAAATAAAATCGCGCGAAACTGTCGTTACGGTCTCGTTGTTGCTGCACCCCAAGGGGCGTGGCCGTATTGTAGCTAGTGCCTAGAAGAATCAAAACGCCTTCAATTTATTAAACGCAATACGGACATTCACCGAGGTTGAATAGTTGCATCAAGGCGCTATGGTCAACGCGTCCCATAGTGTACATTGCTACACTGCCATGCTGAGGAAGGACACCGTATAAAAATTTAGAAGATGCCGAATTTCCCCAAATAAAACATGTATTTCAGAGAAAAGTGATGCATAATATTCCTAGGAATTTTCAGATATTTTAGATTAAATTGCGAAATAAATTGTATGGAAAAATTGAGGACAATATTCGGAATTTTCTCAGTAAATTATGCTTTTATTGCAGGAAATATGGCAACGCCTGAAAGCTCATACGGCGTTCTTCCTTAGCACGGCAGTACAGACGTATACAAATTGTAGAGGGAGGAGAGTCAAAATTACTTCAGCCTCTCACGCATCAATGCGCAAAGTGAGAGTGGACTTATCTACGTTTGCGACACTGCAGACTTCCTGGGAAACTATTTTTATTTTTGAAAAGCTGGTCAACATAAAACTTAAATTATCTATGATTTTTCGTATTCGACAGCACAAGATATGGTTCAAAATTTAAAGTCATAATATGTCTCTCAGAAGAGATGGAATAAGGACGGGAATTTTGAAACACCGCAATGGAGATACGTGGCAGAGAGTATACTCTGATACGTGGTTTCGCACTTCAGTCGGTGCGATATGGACATCCATCAAGATTAAATAGTCGCATCAAGTCCCCGTCACCGCCGACCAACGCGGCTGTCGATTGAATAAACTTCAGGTAGTATGCGTAGGAAGTCAAAACGCCTTCAATTTTTTGAACGCAATACGGACATCCGTCGAGGTTGTATAGTTGTATCAAGGCGCCGTAGCAAGCGTGTCCCATTCTTCATCGTTGGGGACGAATATAAGTTGAGAGAAGAACGTCAAAATGCCTTCAGTTTATTACATGCATATCGATGAGCAAAGTGAGAGACTACGTTTCTCCATTTGCGAGGTTGCAGACTTCCTGAGAAACTTTAATTTTATTTCGAGAAGCTGGTCAACTTAAACATTATTTTCTCTATGATATTTCGTATTCGGTAGTAAAAGATTTGGTTCAAAATTTCAAGTCGTAAGTTTGGATTGTTTCTCTTGGAAGAGATGAAATAAGAAGGGAAATTTTGAAACACCGCAATGGAGATACGTGGTTTCGCGCTTGAGTCGGTGCGATACGGACATCCATCAAGTTAAAATAGTCGCATCAACTCCCCGTCACCGCCGACCAACGCCGCTGCCGATCGAATGAACTTCAGGTAGTATGCGTAGGAAGTCAAAACGCCTTCAATTTTTTGAACGCAATTAGGACATCCGTCGAGGTTGTATAGTTGTATCAAGGCGCCGGAGCAAGCGCGTCCCATTGTTCATCGTTGGGGACGAATATAGTTGAGAGAAGAAACTGAAAATGCCTTCAATTTAATACATCCGTATCGATGGGCAAAATGAGAGACGACGTTGCTCCATTTGCGACATTGCAGACTTCCTGAGAAACTTTATTTTTATTTCGAGAAGCTGGTCAACATAAACATCAAGGAAATCCGTCCACTTGGAAATGATCCGCTGAGCCCGATTTTCCGGTCCGAAAAGCTCCACAAGTCCCCTGAACCGCGCTACCGACGAAAAATGCACTTTTGCGACAGGGTCAGAAACAATCGTTTTGGACGGTTTCTAGGCTCAGGAGGCCTCGCCAAGCCTCGGGACCATGCGCAATCGATTCAGCGGCTTCAACTACATGGGATCCGACCGTAATCTCGAAATTTTTCTCCTCGTCCAAAATCGAGAAAAATGGACAGGGGTTACATGGACTAAATTTTTAGGGTCAAAATCAAAAGTTCTCCGATGAAGCCGAAACCAAGCTGGTCCACTTGGAAATGACCCGCTGAGTCCGATTTTCCGGTCCGAAAAGCTCCACAAGTCCTCTGAACCGCGCTACCGACGAAAAATGCACTTTTGCGACAGGGTCAGAAACAATCGTTTTTGACAGTTTCTCGGCTCAGGAGGCCCCGCCAAGCCTCGGGACCATGCGCAATCGATTCAGCGCCTTCAACTACATGGGATCCGACTGTAATCTCGAAATTTTTCTCCTCGTCCAAAATCGAGGAAAATGGACAGGGGTTACATGGACTAAATTTTTAGGGTCAAAATCAAAAGTTCTCCGATGAAGCCGAAACCAAGCTGGTCCACTTGGAAATGACCCGCTGAGTCGGATTTTCCGGTCGGAAACGCTCCTTGAGTCCATGGGAGCGCTGAATCAGCGGATAAATGGACGCGTGCGAAACGGTCAAAACCGGTGGAACACAGTCATTCCCCGGCTTAGGATGCTCCGCGGCGTCTCAGGACCAAACGGAATCGACTCCACCTTTAGAACTAAGAAGGCTTCTTATCTTATCTTAAAGTTTTTTGCTCGTCGAAAATAGCGAAAAATTGACAGGGGTTACATAGACTGAATTTTCGCGGTCAAAAACGAAATGGTTCTTACCGGGCGGAAAGGAAGCTAGTACCCATGGAATGACCCGCTGAGTTGCGATTTTTTGGTGGAATACGGCACACGAGTTTGTTGAGTATCGCGATCGGTGTGAAACGAGCGATTGTCGGCCTTCCAAGAACGATCATAATCACTCGTTAGCTCCCGCGAATAACGACTGTCGGGTGACTTTCTAATAAAAGTTCTGTGATTAAAATATTATCAATTATTAAAATTTAAAATATGCGAGTTAGGAAACCGGCTTCGTTCATGTGAGGAGATTTTAAAGGGAAAACGTTTGTATTAAACAATTTGATTGAAGTAAGGTTACGAGATAAAATGAGAAATTGGTCATCTAAATTTTGTTAAACTATAAAAATCACTCAATTAATGCTTTGTAAAAAATTAACTGTAAATTGTGCATCAGAAGACGTAGAACTTGTACGTAAAAAGCATGTAACATTTCCGTTACAGTTAGAAATGCCAACTTGATAAAAGCTTGTAGATACGGTAGAAGGCATTTGTAGTCAGAAAAGCACTAATAAGGGATCCTTGTCTCGGCTTTTTCAACCGTTTTTTTGAGAGTTTTCAATTTCACATTTTCAAGTTTTTTAAATCTTTTATTTAACAGGCAATGCATGCAGGTAATTTTTTTACAGTCTTATTTGTATTAAATTAATGAACCAAGAATCAAACGCAAGCACAGTATAACAATTTTTCCAAAATTTTATTTCAACCGTTTCAGACATAGACAAGTTATGCTATTACATTCTTTTTTAGACTTGATATCCGCACAGGATAGGAAAAATCTAAGGACTATGGTTCAAAGAGTCCGAAAGCACGGAAAGATCCATCAGTCGGAACTTTTTGCTTTGTCATCGCATCAGCTTGGACCACACTTAGCAGGTTCTTCCAACACTCGATGTGGCGGTTGCTCCGTTGTCTCCGAAACGATTGCGGTCCTCACCGTAGGGGCTCGACACCTGAACATGAAAAAAATCCACTTTAGGGTACCACAATAATAAATGATGGGCCTCTTTGTGCACAAGAGATCAAAGATATATATTTAAGAGCAGAGGTGGATCCAGCAATTTGGCAACACCGGCTTTCCACCATTTAAACCAATGTTAAATAATCGATTCTTGTCGGAGCACCTGACCCCTCCAAGAATCGATAATTTCCACATGTTCAAACTGGAGAAAAAGAATGTTGCCAACTTGCTGGATCCGCCAATTTTTTGGCTCCATTTCCACAGCCCCCCCCCCCTTTTTNATTTAAAGAATAAAATTATATCATAATTTAGCACAAAATGATGACATGATTTTTTTTCTTAAAATTCAAAAGTGAGGGGGGGGGGACGAACCCCAACTTTTTAGAGACTCCGCACTTCTATCTTCCCCTTGTATAGTGAAAAGATACTTTCAAAAATCAACGCTTAGATTAGCCTAATGATGACTGATGGCCAAATAATTGATTGATTTAACAATCCTATAGGATTACCCTAATTTACTTCATTTTTTACGGTTTTACGGCTTATTCTCCACTTGAGGCGCCTACAGTCAACTGTAGACAAATTAGGATTTTATATAGGGACACGAAGGATCGTCTATTGGGAATGACTGCATTTTTAATGCAACAGACGTGTGCCATTCACATATCGACGGTATAAGTCGGCAATCACATAACTCGGTTTGCGACGTCGCAGACTTCCTATCATGCTTTATTTATTAAACGGAAAACTACTCAACAGCCATTCTTTGAAACTGCCGTGATTTTTCTTCTCTATGCGAAGAAAATTCTGCAAAAACTTCAAGGAATGATGCCAATTTGTTCTCCTTTAAAAAAATAATATACAGGCGGAGATTTTCAGACACCGCAAATGAGTTATGCACTCAAAAAAAAAAAATGTTACTTTAAGCTTGAGCAAGCTTGATTCAGCATGACGGGCGTCTTAAAAACGGGTACAAGCTTACAGCATGTTACGGGAACATAATAAAAAATGTTGAAGAAACATGATAGCCGTCATGTTAAATCAACATGACTGTCGTCACGTTGACTTAACATGCTGTCGTGTTGATTTAACATGACAATCATGTTGATTTAACATGACAATCATGTTGATATACGAGTACGTCAAATGCTACAAATTAAAATAAATTACGTTATTTTTATGATAATTGAATCGTATTTTAATGTAGTTATATTTCCGATACTACTCTCATCCCAGAATCATCCCATCCGACCTATCAAATTTTTCCGACTTTCTCGGGATTTGAACGCGGGACCTACCTATTACAAGCGGAGTGTTCTACCAACCGAGCCATCCGGGCTTGTGGTTCCAAAAGACGAATTTTAAGTGTTTGCATATCCCACTGAATTTCCTTTTTTTGCCGTCTAAGTTGTGTGAAATGCATACCGCATCAGATTGTTAGGTTTTTCTTTTTTTCCATTCACTATTTACGAAAAGGAATTTACATTATGCACCATATAAAAATTAACAATTTATCACGAACTATTTTTTTCTCCTCCAACAACGATGTTCACTTTCTTCAGTGTTTACGATTGTCATTTTTATTCTTATTTTATATCATGATAATAATTAATAATATAAATAAATCAAACATTGAAAATAAAAAATATAATCAAATAATTAGAAACGTATGATTCTAAGAGCTTTAACCACACGAGCGAAAATGTTTTTGAACGAAGAATAATAAACTATCATCAACTTAAAAGTAATTCTTTTTGTTTCATGTGTAAGTATTATTACCATATTACCATTTATTTGTCATGGTGAGCGTTAATAGCGTTATTCGAGTCGATTTATTTTGTTTCCGAAAGTGTCTCAATTGTGTTTTAACCTTATCAATTGGGTATCCAGAAATTTTTTTAAGTAAATACTTTGGGACGTATTTCTTAAGAGACTTTTTCAGAATGTACCAACGAATGGTTTGAAAAGAGTAATAGTACTAGTTCTCTGAATAAAAAATAGGTACGCTATTTTTAATTTGAACGTTACTCGCAGTGAGTAGACAATCTTGTCTAAGTGTCAAGACTATCGAGTCAGGTGGCTTAGATGTCTAGCTTATGAAACGAAATCATGAATGGAGGGAGGGGGAGGGAGATGAGGAGGAGGAGGGAGATGAGGAGGAGGGAGAGGAGGAGAACACACCATCCCCCTTTTCAGTACGTAGATGATGTTTCAAGAGCACCACGGTACTCCTGAAACAATATGAAAGCAAATGGTAACATAACACTGCATATGCTAATTCAACAAAATGTTAATGTTCTTTCAACCAAAGGAATGGTAAAACAACATGTGTAATGCAGTTTCAGTCTGACATAATGCTAAATTTACATGAATTTGGTTGAATTAACATGCGTAATGTTACTCGAATATTACCGTCATGTTGATTCAACATGACAGGTAGAAACATTCTCGGTCATGTTGATTCAACATGACGGCAAATGTAGAATTAAGTCAAACCATGTTGGGTTACGGGGAGTGCAGCCTATATCAACATAATTTCTGTGATGTCATTTCAACATGGCGGTTAATGCTACTTCGACATTTCCTTTTTTTTGAGTGTGTGATTGCCGACTTACACTGTCGATATGGAAGGCTATGTTGGATCTGGGAAAGAGTGCAGGTTGGGAAAAAGAAGTGAGAGGAATAGGAAAATTGTGAAAGTGGAGAGGCAAGGAAGAAATAAGATGGATGGAAAAGAATAAACTTAGAAAGAAAAACTAGGATAGCCTGTCGAGACATCGCCTAGATCATGAGCCCAAAGCAGCGCTATCTATTCGGAGCGAGTGCACACACAACTACTTAATTTTCAAAAACTCGCTCGTTAAAGTTCTCAACCATCATCAGTTGTCATTAGACGAATTTTATTTGATTTTTTCCTCAACCACTTGCTTCTAAATCATTATTAGGTGAAAAAGCGTTTACTCCCGAATTGACGTTTTGCCTCGCTGGATAGACCACTGGACATGGACAAGATACGCATTTGACGGTCCTAATAAAAACTTCCTCTTTAGTTCATGTATAGTATCATTTTTGCAACGGAAATTACTAAAACTAACTCAGAACCAAGGTAATAACGCTTTTATTCAGCATCGACCACGAAAAATTTGAAACTCCTGCTTAAAAGAAATGCAAGAAAAACCAGAGTCTACTTGAATCAAATCGCGCTCGCTCGTATTGCTATTTATCTCAATCAGCAGGGTTCACTCCTCATCCTATGTTGTTTAAAACGTAAACAACGTGAAATAGCAGAAGCAAAAAGGTCCGGTTGTCTCATATTCGTACTACGAATAATGTTTCATAGGTGGATCCGGACACCTCCAACNNGGGGGGGGGGGGGGGGGGGGGAGGTGCGTAAGGGGGTGTCCGGGGGCCTCCCCAAAAAATTGTATGAATTTTTGAAGCATCAATATGCAGTTTGAGCCAATTTCGTCATGAATAATTCCCAAATTAAAGCGTCTTTCCTTCTTCTTTTCCCTGTTCCTTCCTCCTTTCTTCTTTTTCTTTTTCTTCCTCCTTCTTTCTGGCGAACGGGGGTGGGTGCACCACCCTCCCTGGATCCTCCTATGTAATGTTCAGTTTGCGATTTAGCGCAAGGAGATTACGGTTTTTTTTTTTAAAAAAAAAAAAAATGAGCAGGATGTTTGAACTGATGCATCAACAAACGTTAATATTATAATGAGAAGACGAAAAAGAGGTTTGAATCAATTGAAAAATTTTAAAGAGTTTGATCGCAATTTGTAAGGCAGTCATTCAAATTAGGTTTTCTTAGACCTGACTCTTTCTTCCTACAGATCTTGGACTGGCAGGCTCGCCTGACTGCCTACTACGTATCGTTGTTCACTAACGCTATCATTTTATTTTGCAGGTTATGAATTAACGCAGAAACTCAACCCAGTTAACTCTAAGCTTTTGAAACTCCTTGAAAAAGCTCCCTGCTATCTTCAGAATGAATAACGGATATGAAGTCAATCCTCCAACATACCTTTCGAGAATGAAACTACGAAATACTACGCTGAGTATGTAAAATTGCATACACTTATATTGAAGGAGTTTCCAAGAACTGTATAAGCCACATCATGATAATGAGACATATATGACATTATCATTTTTTCTAGCGATGCCGGTTTTTGCACATAATCGATTTGGATCTATTGATTTTTTATTTTTCTTCAAAATCAATTTCGACTTAGGATTGATCGTAAAAAAACCAATCAATCAATTCAAAAATTGAAATCGTGGATGTCTGCAGGGATGAAAATGATGACAAATCTTTGTTTGCGTCAATTTCTCAAAATGTAGACCAAAATTTGACAATCTAGTTTGATTTCAGTCATGCACCGAGTTTCCATTCGGAAAATCGGTTCAGATTTTAAATCCACCCAAGATTATGGATTCTTTCCAATTCCGATTTTTTTCGATGTTTTAGGTAGAAAAATCGATTTTACATCGCCATCACTAACTTAAAAAAGTATATTCTTTTCACCAATTGAGAGCAAATTTTTTTTGTGAAATTGTAAAACACATTGAAAAAGGTTCTGGTCTTTTAGGCGATGGAAAACATTTAATAGGTATTTTCTCGTCCACACATACGTATACGTCTGTGCCGATGATTTTTTGTTGTTGAGTCATTTTCGAACTATTTCTGAGTATATTTTTGACAAAGATGAAAGCCTCGCTGCATTTCATTTTCATATCAGGCACTTTTTTGTCAGAATTTTTATTCAATTTCAAAACACCATCAATGTTACATTTCGACTCTTTTATAATCCACGCAATGCTGAACTTTCTTGTAAAATCACAGAATATTCCCTACCGTTGCGCAAGGAGATCTTCGGATTCTTTTGGAATTTCTTTTAAAGATAGACGAATTTCGGTTGTCGTAAGCAACTGTTGAAATAATAATCGATGAATTTGGAACCTATCATTTGCAGTATCTTTCTCAATACTTCACGTCAAGTGAGACTTTGAAGTGGACTTCAGGGACATTATCTTTGTATGAAGTTCATTATCTACGGGATTTACTGCCTCATTAAAAACCTCAACTATAAGAAAAACCATTGCATAAAAACATAGGCAAGGGAAAAAGAGGATGATCCCTGTATGCTCGCGATTGTGAGATGGTAGTCAAAACCTTTAACCTTCTCAAAACGAACTTATAGAAAAATTGACTTAATTTTCTGTAGAAAAACCGCAAGTTCAATTTTTTAAAAGTTCTTGATAATCTCCTGAGAAAATATGAGGTTTGGAAATAGAGAGAGAGAGAGAGACAATAAGAAGAAACAGAAAATATGTAGACTCACGTGGAAATCGTGATATTCCACAATAAAAATATTTTAAAAGTGCAAGTTGCAAGTGCACATTATTGGCAAAGTGCTTATCTTTATACTCGTAATAGAATAGCTCATTGTAGATACAACATATTATATACCATTAGTTTCCCTATGCAGATAAGTGTTTTTATGTATGAGCCAGAAATTGCAGTTCTAACTTACAAATGCAGTCTATTAATCATCAGTCATCATTCACCGAATTTCATGCTCAAATAGTTGATCAGCAATCATCATTACGCGAAAGATTGACGCGTTGACCTTTTAACTTAATTTTTTCCTCACCAGATTATACGGCTTAGATTCTCAGTGCGGGATATCTGAAATATATTGTCTCTGTGTTTATCTGAGTAGAAAAATAGGAACAGTTTCTTCGGATTTCATAGTCGCTGTCTATTTACCTTGAAAGTCGATGCACGTATTTCGACAGCATTCTGTTGAATCCTTATCATCATCTGGTCGTCAACAGAGGGCAGGACAAAGGAAAGCTACTTGACAGCAGTTGCATAACATTTTGGGCTTCCTATGGACCCGGAATTGAGACAGGAGGCAGCAATTTACATATTTACAAAACTGTAACAAGGCCAGAAAACAAAACCTACGATGAGATCTCAAACGAGTTTATGACTAGTTGATCATAATATTTTACAACGATGTTTGGTTTCGTTCTATCAATGACCTTTTCGGAGGGCTGTTTTTTTTTTAAAATTTCAAAGAGCGATGCTTGTGATAATGAATCATCATACAGCATTTGAGTCCCTTTATAGAGACGCAGTAAAGGAAAATAGGCACTTTATCATAATTTTCGCGGCTACATTTAATAAAAATCTTATTTTTTTGTTCAAAATGTCGATCGATGACCAGAGTGCGAAACGACGCACAGTGGATCGAGTCAATAGGAGAGGTCGGACTAAATTTGGTAACTTTAAAAGCTTATAACTCCGTTTATTCAAAATTTTGAGGTTCTAAAAGTGGCATCGAATTTCGAGTTCCATTGGTTTTCTCGTGCAATTTTCTTTTGGAGGCATCCCTTAAAATTTAAAATTTGATGAAATAAACGTGGGATTTTGCAGTTTTAGTCAAAAATTTCATGTCCTATGGACTCGATCCATTGTGCGACGTATCTTCGTTTGCAACGTTGCAAACCTCTTGTTATACTTAATTTTTTTTCGGAAAACTGGTAAACATAATTTCATGAAAACCTCTTTGATTTTTCTAAGGTATTTTCAGAATATTCTGCGCGAATTTCAAGCTACGAAGTTTGCTTGTTTCCTTTCGTAGAAATAAAAAAGGAGCGGAAATGTCGAAACGCCGCAACGAAGATACGTGGTTTCGCACTGTTTAAATTCGTTAGCTGAAACAGAATCATACGAGCTACGAAATGAGAAATTACGGGGGTTTTTTTTTGGTGTATTCTCCAAGAGACATTATATATTCTATCGCGCTTTTGATCTTCTGTCAAGGATGACTTAGTTGCATTTGGACACGTTTACGTAACAATAATCTATCAGTAATGAGAACACTTAATAAGTAAAGTAAATAAATTTATTTTTAATAAATGTGTCCGTTTAGATGATGGAACTGTAAAAACCTACGTGTCTTAATAATTGCATCAGCCCCTCTAAATTAATTTTTGAGTGAATGGGTATACTTCGACAATTTTGCATCGAACATGGCAAATTAAAAATTCAAATTAAACATATTTTCTCCGAAACTACGTCTTTTCGACTACAAACTTGAACTATCTCGTGACTCCAGTGTTGTGTTTGAACTTTTTTGAAAATTCTTTTGATCACAATATTCGTAAAACGTATCTCTGACTATATTATTAAACATCTAATTGATTTTGGAGCCCTATTTCGCATGGGCTACTTCGGATTCCGATTAATATGACGTGGTATGAGGCACTGTGCGGACTGTGTGCGAAGCTAAAAATGTGGTGCCGAAAACCTATGCAGGTAGTTCCTCTTGATGTAATTGATTTTCACATTGTATCTTTCATTAAAAAACGTTCAAACGTATGTTAAGAACTGCATTTTTGAGCACTCAGCCGACAGGGAGCGCTTTTTGACTGCCTCTAGAATTCTGACATACTCGTACTAGTGTAAATACGTTCAAATCGTCGTTTGACTGACATAAGGGCATAACTACACCCTTCGATGAACCCTGTCTTCCATAAAATTCAATGATTTTACGGGCTCATCTCAATGTGGAGTTACGCCTTATGTCAGCCAAGCGACGAAATGATACATCAGCTGAACAACAAGATGGCGGTTGCCAAGATGGCAAGATGCCTGACATATTCAGAAAAGATTAATTTGTGATACTTTTATTTGATGCCTCTGATTTCAAAGAGCGGAGGACGATACTCGTTTTTCTAGAATTTATTTTTTTTAGCGGTGGCGTAGTTTCCTCAAAATTGATAGTTGAAATTTTGGTGAGCGAGTCCTTTAATCTCAACAGAGCTCGTTTTCTTTGGGTGACTTGAAATTGCGCGCCTAAATAGGAAACAGCTGAGCGCTTCTCTAATACAAATGTATTCTAGCTTCGCCGCTTGTTCTATAATCTGATATGCGCGTACTTACCTATTTACAAACTTTAAGGAATTCACACTATTCAGTCTTTTTCCTGTGATTGAACAGCAGCCGATAAACGTTTGAAAGCTGGAGGCTTGCAGGAGGAAGGCAAAAATATTTACAAACAAACTTATAAAAAAGGGTAACGATGAACCGAAGGAGCTAGTGGAGGCGCTATCTGATGGAGAAGAACGGGAGAAATGTGAACTGAGCCGGGAGTAAGACTGCAAGACAAGCCAGTTGAATCAAACATAAGGGCGTCCTGCCGCAGCAACCCCGATTGGCTAAACAGAAAAAGAAAGACACAAATGAGAGTGTGATAATGAGACATCGTGTATTCTAAAAAGGTATGGAAAATATCGCCGGTGAAACTACCAGACCACGTATCTCGTTTGTAGTGTTTAAAAATCTCTGCTCCGATTTTATTTTTTCGAAAGATAACAAATCAAAATAATTTCTTGAAATTTTCACAGAGTTCTCTTCGTACAGAGAGGAAAAAACAGGGACATTTTCAAGAATCGACTTTGAGAGGTTTTCCATTTAAAAAATAAAGTACGACAGGAAATCTACAGCGTCGCAAACCGAGATACGTGATCTGGTACTTTTACCGTCGATACGAAAGATGAGCTGATTTCACCTTGTCAATGGCCGCTCTGAGGCACAGTTATAAAAAGAAACGTTGGAACCACGCAACCCATGAAAATTGAAGTAAATCCCTCCTGCAAAGTTGCAGATGATCTGAGAAGCCACTTTTTTATGGCATAATGGAATTTTTAAGCATACGAGGATACTGCTACCCTGCTACAGTAAATATGAGAATTTCCGGAGTATTTTTCTGCACATCACGCATTTTTTTCTTATTATCACGAATGGGAGCCTGAGGGATTTTTAAATTTTTTTATTTTTGCTTTCTGGTCGATTAGGGGGTTGAAACCACCGCGGAACATCCGAGGTCGACTCTTCTGCCAAGGATTTGGACTTGAATCATCGGAATATCGTACATAAGGAAATAATACAACTATTCAAACTCCTGTGTGTTGCGCAGTATCATTCTCGATGGAAGGCGTTTTTGCTCCCCTTGAGCCGGGCTCTCGTTTCGACCTCACTCCTCATTCCTCTCTCCTATACTGCCGTGCTATGGAAGAACGCTGTATGAGCCATCAGAAGTTGCCAAATATTCTTTAATATAATACGAATTTCCAGGGAAATCTGTGAATATTTTGCTTTGCATTTTTCAGAGAATTTTGTTCGTAATTCGATCTGAAGTGTCTCAAAAGTTCAATGAAAAACATTCGAAGCTTTTCTCAAAAATGAACATTTTCTCTGAGGGAATTTGGCAACTCTCGAATGATCATACGACTTTCTTCCTTGGCACGGCAGTATACTTCTCCTGGATAAGGATACACTGAAAAAATAGATTACGCTGTATTTCACACAGCGTGAAGGAATGGTAAATTATACCAATCTCCAAGTCGATTCTGCCAGAGGATTCTACCTGTACCCTGTACCGTGTACCGTGTACCGTGTACCGTGTACCAGTGTATAGTAACGTTTAAGTTTCTTCTGGCATAATTGCCTCTATATTGACGCTGTGTAAAACACAGAGTGAAGGAATGGTAAATTCTACCAATTTTTTTTCAGCGTACGTACCTTGAACTCTGTCGGCTCTTGACTTGCCGTGATCGATGGTGTGGGCGCCGGTCTTCTTGCTCTCGAGGGTGGGCGGCCTCGACTGCTTCTCGCCCTCGACGCTCTTCTCGTTGGACTTCCAGTAGACGGTGGCGATGGTGGCCAGACACTTGAGCTTCATGTCGTCCCGCTTGAAGTGGTGCGGCTCCACCTTGAACTGCAGACCCAGCGTCGTCTCCTCCAGCTCCTCCGAGCCAATGAACCGCGTGTAGGGACCCCGCAGGTATGCGTTGTCCACCTGCCGACCAGACCAAAATACACTCAGTCATCAACAAACAAATTCACCAAAATTCTGAAAATCTAATTTGAATCAGTGAGAAAGACAAGACACTAACTCGGAAAAATGAAAATAATCAAGACGCACACAAAACTGCAGAATAGGTAAAGAGTTAGTTTAAGACAAATATTTTTGCTGCCGAAAGACAAGTATTTACGGACTCTCAAAAGGTCAAAGTTGGAACGGATGCGCTGATGCAGACAAAAAAACGCACACTTTTTTCGCACTAGAAAAAAAACACATTGGATCTAGAGTCCAGACTCTTGAAAACATTGACAAGAAAAAATACTCTTGATTCAATCAGATTTTTGCTTCAATCAAAAGAAAATCCGCTCAAATTAAGAGGCTTGGCTCTTGATTTAAGCAAAAATCCGATTGAATCAAGAGTTTTTCTTGTCGATGTTTTTAAGAGTCTGGACTCTAGAGCCAATGTTTTTTTTTCCAGTGCGCAGATTGTGAAGTTAGGAGTACATTTCAAACTTTGCCAATGCGCTTATCGTGATTTTTGAGACATTTTCTGATAGAAACAACACCTATTTTTGCTCTAGCAAAAGTTTGCAACAGGCCTATTCAGCTGATTCCGAATAAAGCCATTCGCCTGATCGATCGAGTGTCAGATCGTTCTCAAAAGGGCGATTAGAGACACCTTCTGAGTTAACACCCCGAATATTCCGGACGGCCTCGCGAAGAGGCCCTAAATCAAGAGGCGGCAACAGTCGTGGAAAATGTCAACAGGAAGTTAAAGGTAATTTACCGGGGCTCCGTTAATGAACCAGTGGAGCTGAGCGGCGGGTTTGGACCTCTCCGAGGTGCAATTCAGCCGAACCGTGTCGCCGATCTGATATCTCGGTCGTCCGCCAAATATCTTCGGTCCCTCCGTTGGAAGTGCTGTCAACAGAAAAGCAAACCTGAGTATTAGTGAACATCCTTGGGTTACAGGGTTTTATATTCACTATTCATGCATAGTGAGACACAACACAGGGTAAGAAGTTCTGTGCTACGACAAGTGTTTCCTCCGATTTAAAAACTGCATCTTATATCAGAAAAATCAGTTTTTACTGTGATCGTCAATTTGAACTTCGTGCTTGGCAAAAAACCAAGTGCTAAAGTGAGGTGTTGGGTACAGAGAGGACATTTCTAAGTTAAAGGGTTTCAAAATCTTCTGTGCTACGTTTTATTTGGATATTATTGGCTGAGATTTTTTTTAAATTTAACGTTTTCAGCAGTGTAAAATCACACAGAACTTCCAGTAAAAGTTACCACAAATTACATGCATTTATTTCATTTAAAATAGATGAAACATTAGCAGAGATTTTGAGAAACTGCAACCAAAAAATGCTCTTTCTGCGCCCAGAGTTTCAAAAGCTCTCTTGGCCTATGCCAGTATTATTCACGGAGAGAAAACTTCAGCTCATATGGCACAATAACTTTTCAGTCCAGGTATAGAAGAAAAAGAATTAGTAAAAGGAGAAGAAGAAGAATTAGTAAAAGGAGAAGAAGAAGAATTAGTAAAAGGAGAAGAAGAAGAATTACTAAATGGCGACAAGGAATAATTAGTAAGAAGAAAAGAGGAAGAAAAAAAGAAAAAAGATAGGAAGCAAATGCACTATCTGTTAGCATAGGCACATCAGGGTCATTCACGTTTCTAAAATGAGCTCGAATTATTGGTTCCTAATACCAGAACGTGGTCAATTTTTGCCTCATGAGGTGCGCAATTCGACGATGAATTTACCGAGCGCACGGTTGCAATCTTACGAGATCAATCTCGAAGGATTTTTTTTATTTTTTATTTTTTGGTGAGTATCTCCATTATTTATGAGATAGCGGTTTGCTCCCTCGCCATCCCCTCTTCCGGCAAGGTTTTGGGTCAGTCGTGAGTTTTACAACGCGATAACTTGTAAAAAATGCATGCCGAGCTCGGTTCGGTCCAAGTTCGGCCGTGCCGTGACGACCATAAACACAACGGATAAGCCCGCTGTGTTAATCATGGACGTGACGTCACACGGGTACACGGATTATCCAGATTCCGATTTACGAGAGGAAACTGGTTTCGAAGGGTTCACAACTCCTAGATTTTCAAAAATGTTACTCGGCTGTTTGTTGACTCATTTTCGAGCCATTTTCATAGTGTTAAAACGACAGGCGCTAGGTCGCATCAATTCACTCCATTTTTTCAGCTCCTCGTCATTTTCCTCGAATTTTGAGATCGCTATTCTGTTGTCAGGAGACGAAAGAATTCACATACCACTTTTGACAAACAAATTCAACGTAATATAGGCGTAGTTTTCTTAGAGAGAAAATGTCGCATTCGGGTGCAGTTTCGATATCAGTATCGAGTGCTATATTTTTCCTCGAAAAAACTGCGACTTTATTAAGTTGAATTTGTTTGTCAAAATTGGTAAGTAAATGCCTTAGTCTCCTGAAAACAGAGTCGTGATCTCAAAATTTGAGAAAAATGACGAGTAGTTGAAAAAATGGAACGAATCAATACGATATATCGCATGTCGTTCTGACACACAAAATCTAGCGTCCATCGAATCACCTTAGGCAGCTCCCCACACTATGGGAGCCCTCATTTAGTTTACATTATGAGTAAGGTCAGTTTAAAAATCGTGAGACATCAGCAATCGACATTTCTCTATTAGAAGCTATGCTATCATGCTGAGGAAGATCTTTATCGATGACTAACACTGGAAAAAAAAAACACATTGGATCTTGAGTCCAGACTCTTGAAAACATTGACAAGAAAGAAGACTCTTGATTCAATCAGATTTAAGCTTAAATCAAAAGGAAATCCGCTCAAATTAAGAGGCTTGATTCTTGATTTAAGCTTAAATCTAATTGAATCAAGAGTATTTTTTCTTGTCGATGTTTTTAAGAGTCTGGACTCTAGATCCAATGTGGTTTTTTCCAGTGAAGGAACAATACCGCCTATCTGCAAACTGAAGATTTTACAGTGCGCGAAAAAAACCTCGCCATTTTTGTAATTTCAAGGTTTGTTTTACAATTTTTGTAGAAATTATAGCGTCTTTGCAGCGCTTTGATGCGGGATTGCAAAAAACCAAAAACATCAGCTTGCGTATTTGGAAGTATTTCTGCCATACGGAACTATGCGCATTATGACGTGAGCTCTGTTATGCATATACTCTTATGGGTCTCAGGGCTCATGTCTTAATGCACATAGTTTCGTTTGGCAGAAATACGTCTATTTCATACTTTAGAATACGGCAAAGTAGCTGACTTATTTTCGCTAAAACTGTCAGGTAGGCGGTTGTTTCTTAGCCACCGTAATAAACCTTCAAACGTTAGAAAACCTAAAAACCTTATTAACAAAACCATATTTAAAAAAACACGAATTTTCTGAGAAACCTCCGAACATTTTCATTCCAATATTTCACACGTTTTTATTCGCAATTCAATCTTAAATATCAAAAAAGTTCAAGGAATATTCGCAATTTTCTTCAAAAATGAACTATTACCGAGGGTAATTTGGCAACGTTCGAATAATCGAGTAATAAGATGTTCGTTGCCAACACCCTCAAAATCGATCCTTTTCAATAGGTTCCCATCAGTGGCGAGGCGTGAATGATCGACTATCGATACTTGCCCATTTGATGCTATGGTAAAGAATCGATTATTAAGATGTTTGTTGGATGCACCCTATTTATCGACCCTTTTCCATAGGTTTAAATGGCAGATCAATCGATTCATCGCAGCTGCCACTGCGGCAGAACCGTGTAACAACGGCGGGTTTCCATTGCAGTTACGCGCTTTCGGTGGGAACCCCTCGCCCTCGGCCTCGCGTTCGTGGGTCCTTGTTGTGGCCGCATTTCGTCATCGTCGGGCGAAAATTCTCCCTGAGTTACGGCCGGGAGCGGCAATAAAAAAAGCGGGATCCGCGGAACATGTGACCATAAACATGAGGTTTTATGGTCTTGTGATAGTTTGCCACGCCGGCGACGTCCCCCCCCCCTCATATCCCCCCCTTCTGTCCGCCGACGAGATCAATGATTATTTATGGCATGCAAAAACTTCCCGGATAGACACGCTTTAAAGGCCCCCTAAAGTGCCTACTTTCTATTTCTTCTTGTCGTCGGGTTTTCGGACCTGGGCGTCTTATCTGGGATTGGATTCAGTCGGCCATTCAGTCGTGCTAAGTAAAAAGGCCGTACGAACCTTCAGGCGTTGCCAAATATCCTTTGATAAAACACGAATTTCATGGTAAACATATGAATATTTTTCTTCCAATTTTTCATATAATTTGGTTCTCGATTTTACCTACAGTTCCTGAAAATTTCAAGGAAAAATATTCATAACTTGCCTCAAAAATAACCATTTTATCGAGGTAAATTTGGCAACTCTCGAATGTTCATACGACGTTCTTCCGTAGCACGGCAGCGTTGTCGTCGCATCCCTCTGACGCACAGTGGATCGAGTCAATGAGAGATGTCGAACAAAATTTGGAAACTTTAAAAGCTCGTACCTCCGTTTATACAAAACTTTGAGATTCTAAAAGTGGTTCCATTGGTTTCTTCATGAGATTTTCTTTGAGAAGCACCCCTCAAAGTTTAAAATATGACGAATAAAACATCAAAAATTCTTGATGCACGCGCCACGCCACAGTGGCGTGGCGCCACGGTTGCAGAATTCCTGTTAAACTTCAAGATTTCGCGTATTAGCTATCGACATGGAGTGTATTTAATCCAATTACAAACTATTTTGAAAAAATAATGTAAATAGATTGAATAGTTGCTAAAAAGGAAAATAATATATAGTAAGAGGTAAATGATGGATTTTTGATTACAGCAAATCCGGAAAGGCACTGTTAAATCAATTGAAGAAAAACGGAAGAAAGAGAGGCAGAAAAATACGCGTATGACAAGTTAGATCGGGGATAAACCGTTGATTGACGGGAAAAAACAGCTTAAAATGCACTCCCCACGGCAAGAGACAGGATAACACAGAAAGTCTTAAAGAGAGCGAATCCACTCAATCATACATTCTCCTGTCTGAATCTCGGGAGCAAAACAATTCGATAACTCTCATTTCTCGGAAAGAAACATTCTCAAGCAGTTTAATTGGCGAAGACAAGGATCTCCAATTCATCCGACGGTAATCCGATCAAGAGTAGACAGTGGCGAGGCGTGATTGATCGACTATCGATATTTCTCCATTTGAAGCTATGGTAAAAGATCGATTATTACGGTGCTCGGTGCGAACACCCTGTTTATCGATCATTTTTATTAGGTTTAAATGGCAGATCAATCGATATATCGCAAAGCACGCCACGTTACCGGAGCGGTAGTCTCAGAACCGGAGAGCTCGAAATTGAAATATCCAAGATTTCCTCGGTACATCTTTGAACGGGGACCTAACCCCCATCACAAGTTTTCTTTCTCGATTTTCCACTTGAGTCGATTCAAATGACGTCTCCTTTTGTTTCCGGATGGACGTATTTATGCTGAAAAGAAACAATGTCCCACGCAACCCCTATGCACATAGTTCCTTTTAGCATAAATGCGTTCAGATACACTGCGTGCTGAGGAAAAATGCCGTATAAATGGTCAAATGTAGCCGAATGTCTCACTGTAAAATATGCGAACGAATTCGTAAACTTGCGAACATTTTTTTCCCCATTTTGAGATGGATTTTATTCCAATGAAATCTTTGGTATTAGAAAATTTTAAAGTTGAATATTCATGACTTTTTCAAAAAGAAATATTCAATCGGTTGATCTATGGCAGCATTGAATGTTCACAGGGTCTAATTTCTTAGCAGAATATTGCCTTGCTGAGGAAGAACGCCGCACGAGCCTTAAAACGTTGCAAAGTTTCCTCTGATAAAAACCGAATTTACTGGGAAAATTGCCAATGTACATTTCTAAAAAT